CTACGTTTCCGCAATTAACGCGGATCAACAAGAAGAGAATCCACCAACAATATCTCATAAGCTTCTCTACAAAGTGCAACAATGGAGAACTTCATTGAAAGAATCAAGTGCTGCAGAACTAAAGCTGTCTTCAGCAATCATTGTCGCTGGAGTGTTATGTTTCATGGCTGCTCTAATATCGAGTGCCGGTGGAATCGGAGGTGGAGGTTTATTCATTCCAATCATGACTATAGTTGCAGGGTTTGACTTGAAAACTGCTTCAAGCTTCTCTGCTTTTATGGTAACGGGTGGATCGATTGCGAATGTAATAAGCAATCTCTTTGGTGGTAAAGCATTGCTTGATTACGACTTAGCCTTGCTTCTTGAGCCATGTATGCTTCTAGGAGTGAGTATTGGTGTGATTTGCAACAGAGTTTTGCCTGAATGGCTAATCACTGTTCTTTTCGCGGTGTTCCTCGCTTGGTCTAGTTTGAAAACGTGTAGAAACGGAGTCAAGTTTTGGAAAATTGAAACTGAGGTTGCGAGAGGGAAAGGACATGAGAGACCAGAGAAAGGACAAGGAGAAACAGAGGACATTAAAGCACCTCTTCTTGAAGCTCAAGAGAAAACAAAATCAAAGTTTCCATGGACAAAACTTGGTGTCTTGGTTATTGTTTGGGCGACTTTCTTTGTCATATATCTTCTCCGAGGGAACAAAGATGGAAAGGTAATGATATATAACTACATAGATCAATAAAATTTTTACTGATTTTCGATATAGAAAAATCGACTGATCCTATATATGTTATGTGCAGGGAATCATATCAATAAAGCCTTGTGGTGTGGAATATTGGATTCTGCTTTCACTTCAGATACCTCTTGCTTTGGTTTTCACAAAGCTAGCTCTTTCGAGATACGAAAGTCTCCAAGAACGACCCTCGAGCAACGAGGTAAATACAAGTATGTTAGCTACAAATTAGATTGAATTGAGGCTAATACTAAAACATTATTTATCTTACATGAGCAGAAAAAGCAAGAAGGTACAAAATTAGACAAATCCACAAGGTTAATGTTCCCGGTGATGTCATTTCTTGCCGGTTTATTGGGCGGTATATTCGGTATTGGAGGTGGAATGCTTATAAGTCCTCTTCTTCTTCAAGCTGGGATAGAACCACAGGTAATTAAAAACAACAAGAAGCAATATTTTCATACATTTTCTGATTTTTCGCAAGGTTTTTTAATCGAATATATGTTTCGATGCAGACAACAGCAGCAACAACTTCATTCATGGTGTTCTTCTCTGCAACCATGTCTGCAGTCCAATACTTGCTACTAGGAATGCAAAACACAGAAGCAGCTTACATGTTTTCATTGATTTGCTTCTTTGCTTCGCTTTTGGGACTTGTTTTGGTTCAAAAAGCTGTGGCTCAGTTTGGAAGAGCCTCCATCATAGTGTTCTCGGTCGGTACAGTGATGACTTTGAGCACAGTCCTAATGACTAGCTTTGGAGCTCTTGATGTATGGACCGATTACGTGGCTGGCAAGGACATGGGTTTCAAGCTGCCATGTTAAGACTTTGGT